TATATATATATATATATATATATATATATATATATATATATATATATATATATAGAATCTTTTCGTAAGATATTTAGGAATATCGTAGAAATTTTTTAATCATTTTAAAAATTTCTAAAAAATTCGTAATTCCACGTTTCTATCGTGCGTTCAAAATTGCACGATCTCTCTTAAATCTATCGCTACACAAGCACCCTATCTTTCCACGTTGCTCCTCTCTCTTTTCTGCTTTCTCTCGTCCTCCCCTTCTATCTCACGATCCCTACCTATATTTTCCTACCCTTTCGCGTTTCTCTCTCGCTCTTTCTCCCTCCTTCTCTCTCGTACACTACCATACACCCTTGAAGCTGTATATCCCTCTTTTTCTCTCTCTGTTCTATTCGATCCTTTACTCTTTCTTCGCAGTGGCACCTTTCGCCTTTACTTAAGGGGGTTTGTACTTCGGGGGTTTAAGGCCCGTTCAGCCTCAGTGTTGCCAATTTAACGAGCACCCCACTCTTGACAATGGATCAATCTTTTTATTGATTTCGTTTAGAAAACAACACCTCTTTTCCCTCGGCCTGTACACGACACTGATACCTTTCTTTCGTTTCCACGCGATAGGTTTCAATTCGATGCGTCGGGGGGGGGGGAAGGATAATTTTCGAGGTTTCTCGAATTGAAATAATATAATATATATATATATATATAAATCATTGCAATAATCTTTACTCGAAACATGGAAAATATTTATTGAAAATTTTCGCGAAACAGTAATGTAATTAAATATTTTCATTAAGAAAATGGCGGTTGCCTCTAAAGGCAAATAAACATTCCATTGCATTACGATATTTACGCAGCATGGAAAGTTACGAGTGTTCAAGTTTAATAAGTTTTTATGGAGAATTAAATAAAAATATGAGAAATATGAAAAATATATATGGGAAATAGGAATAGATGTAAACGAATGTAACAATAATAATAATAATAATAAATCATACAAATGAACCATCATTTTGTTTGATTTTTAACAAAAAAAAAAAAATAACAAACACAAACTCGTCACAAATTTCAAATCGTCACCGAATTTAAAAGCCATCCACCCTACAGATCGGATCTTGAACGTGTGCGAATAAAGAAGAAATTCGTTAATCAGGGGTGCAGAATTTTCGAGGGGAGGAGGAGGAGCGATTGAAATCCGCGCGATAAATTTTGATTTTCGCCGTTGCCCGTTACTTATGCAGTCGGCATGCTGTATTTTGTGTCGTGTCGTTTAAACTCGCCACGAAGATCGGGTTTTGGTACGTTGCCATGGCATCGCCGATAGATCCGACGTTGCTTTCTCCCCCGTTCCTTTTCTCTCTCTCTCTTCTTTTTTCTTTTTCTTTTTTTCTTTTTTTTTTTTTTCCATACATTCTGTCACTGATATATCGCGCGTATCCGAATCGCGCAAACGTGATTTATACCGCTCATTGCGCAAGAAGGATAGCCAAGGCAGTTTTCGAAGCGACGGATCCATCTCTTAAATCAGGCCACCGCGCGAGAAACCTAAATCCAATCGTATAATGGAATTTCGTGTATTTATCTTATAAACTGTTAGGATATAGTCGTCGAAATTGTTATATCGAAATACAATATATATATATATATAAATTGAGATAATTGCGTGGTAGAGAAATATTTATTACGCCTAATTGTTGCAAATTCACGGATACGTGCGTGGCACGTATTGATTCGACGGGCCAGCAATTTCAAGATAAAACGATTTATCAAAACGACGATCGAAAAAAAAGGGGTGTAAAGGTGTCACTGTTAGTATTTCGCTGCATAATATAGGGTTATATATCATAAAGGCTGCTACGTCTTCGTGCAACTGGTTTAATCTCCTCTACTGGTCGCTTTGCTCTCTGGATCGCTTAATTGCCAAATAAATCTATCTACCTAGACAACTAACCGCATAGTCGTACAGCGTGTGCGCTTGATACGTGTAACTGGCGACTAAAAGGCAACGGAACAGAGCGTTAGGTGTATTATTCCTCCTCGTGGAAATTAATCGAATCGATCGATCGATCTCAAATTCTTGATTTTATTTAAAAAGGAAAAAAATTTAACGGAATTAATTATTAAATGGAATATACAGAAATACTTGTTATGTCGAGTAAAAATTTTATGAAATAAATCGCAATAATCTTAATTAATTGTCAACGAAGATGAATTATGATTTTACAATTTGAAAAAAGTGTCTCGTTTCACCTCTGTTCATGCACAAATGTGCAAATACTTGAGAAAATGAGTGAGTTGTTCTCGCGACCTTCGAAATTTAAACGAAAATCGGGGGTGGAAAAGTCGGCAATTTCAAAGGCTTCCTCGAAGGATATCGACCCGCTTTTCAGATAAAAATTTGAACAGGATTGAAACGGTCTGGCAAATATGCTCCCTTGTCTCTGGAGATGTCGGCCACCGTCGACCATTCCGCGCATACCTGGCCGCAATCAGACGAATTCCTTTTTCAGAAACGAGCCAGCGGTTATTTCATAAACCTCTCGATACGGATATTTTAAATATTGTAGGTCGCGTCGATAATACGTCTCGCGGATCTCGAGTTAGCGCGAATTACGATTGACAAATTCCGGGAAAATTAGGGTACAGTCGGTTGTGAAAGTTTTTCTCTCCAAATGGTCGAATTTTTCATTGTTTCATTCGCTCGATTCGTTTGGGATTGCAAACAAAAATTGAGCGTATTGCAGTTTGGATAATTTGTCTTTTTCGGAAAGAAGAATACTTTGCATAAATTTAGAAATATTTTCCCTTTTCTTGGAACTTTGAGCGACAATTGTTAAAGTTGTCGATGTATCTTTATTATTTCTTTGTCGTACGAAAATACTTAAATTAATGTATTTACGTTGAGGTAGTTGATAGCCACGTGGCGCTAGTGTCGATCACAAATAATTAGAAATAATGTCGAAGAAACATTAAAAATAATAATTATATACGTTTTCACGCGACAAAGGAAATATGTTCGATTTTAAAATTCCTCGTAAAATAACCGAATGCAAAAAACTTTTGCGATCGACTTTACATTTTTATTATCGTATTGGATATTTTGTCTTTTTCGCATGCAAACTTTTGTACGTTGATATTTTTGCGTAAATTTAGAAACATGAACATTTGAAACTAAAGAAACTTTGGTAAATTGTATATCATTTTATTAAAATCGTCAATGTATCTTTATTTGTAATATAAAAATATTTAAATTAATGTTTATCGATAATTGACTTTTTGCCAAAAATCAAAAATAAAAAAGGTAAATACAATATTAAGGTACTTGTAGTTAAGTCACGTGGCGCTAGTGTCGCTGTCGATCACAAATAAAGTTAAAAATACTTGTTGAAAAATTGTCGAAGAAACATTAAAAATAATAATTTATACGTTTTCACGCGACAAAGAAAATATATAATTCGATTTTAAAATTAATTCCTCGTAAAATAACCGAATGCAAAAAACTTTTGCGATCGACTTTACATTTTTATTATCGTATCGAAACGAGAGATCGGCACGTGCCTTTGTAAAATAACATCAAATACCAGCGTAATTCTTCATCTCGCTAATAACTGTATTTCATCCGCATTGTTTTGATTGTTCGTCTCGCGGATAGTATAATAATAATTTTAATAAAACTCCCTGGTATTTTTCAATACGGACGGATGCCATTTGTATCATTTCCTTTTTTTTTTTCCATCGCATTTAAGGATGAATTTTTAAGAAAACTCTTTCGTGCAAACGATTTCGAAAACTAGAAACGGTAATCCCCTCTCGATCTGATTAAAGTTTTTTCGAGAACACGTGAAAATTTGGCAACAGTAATATCCCACAGTTCTTCTCTTTCTTCTTTTATCAATCTTCTTACAAACTTAGAGTTGAGATATTTCACACATATTTCATTTATTTCTGCATAAATCTGCTTATTTGATTGAATTAAAGGAATTATTTATTTGTAATACATATATATATATATATATATGAAATATTTTAAATAACATATCTGAAAATTTCGTT